TTCGGAGAGATTTTGCTATATCTCCGGGACAGGAAGTGAGGGGAAATCTCCCCAATGGGCCTCAGAAAAAAACAAACAAACCTGATAAGGGTTTTAAACATTCCTTACTTTATCCAAAAAAAGGACATTTTTGGATATAGGTAGGGTGGAGTTCTGAGGGATTAGAACTCCCGTCTGGTAGAAAGATTGTCCCCAGGACAGGAAGTGAGGGATGTTTTTGATAAAGTGTCAGGTTTCTATTGCTGTCTGTGTCACCGTTAGGGAGATTCACCCTCTCTATGTGACCTGGTGACCATTATCACTGAAAATGAAAGAAAATCACAAATTTCCGGTAGTCACCAGAACAGGAATGGATGGGAGATCTTCCAGTGGGGACATTGATCTGCTGAACCTGCTGACCACCAAGGATTTTCCTCTCCCCAATAGGACACAGATGGCAATAAAAACTGACCGGGGTTATAACCCTCCCTTACTCTATCCCAGCGATGGCGAACCTATGGCACGCGTGCCACAGTGGCCGTGCAGAGGCAGGGGAGTCCCGAGGCTGGGTGACACCTGGAGTGGTAACCGAGTGTCACCCCGCCGAGACGTCACTGCACATGCGCGTGACGTCACCACGCGTGTGCGCAATGGCGTCGTCGCGCACGCGCGGCAGTATTCTGATACCTGCCGGTGGCCATCTTGGTTATGGACGCCGGCAGAGAGAGGATGGGACAGTCACCCGGCGGGATAAGGTATGCCGCCGGGTCCCCTCCTCTCTCCTGATACTTATGAGAACTTGTCACTTCCAAATGCTATCACAAGGGGCTTGTTAGCCCCTGTGTTATAGCAATAAAGTTAAGCGGAAAAAAATAAATAAAATAAATACAAATTAAAAAAATAAGAATTTATAATAAAATAAGTAAAATAAATAAATAATAATTTAAATAAAAAATAAAAAGGTGATAAAAAAACAGCGGTTGCAGCTGGGACCGGGCTCTGGCGCTCCACCACTGTCCTGAAATCATTAGTCTGTATTGCTTTAGAAAAACTGTCACATGACAATGAACAAAAATGTATCAGTACTCGTACTCGCAAAAATAGTATTGGTGCATCACTTGTATATATTTATAAAAACAAAATCATACATTAAAACAGAGATGTACAAATCCCAGGAGCTCCGTGTGCTCCTTACAAATGACAGCTGCCTCCTAACTTTTGAATTTTTCTCTAATGTAGTCTTGGAGCTCGTAAAGTATCTGTACTTGTACTTGTACCGAGTACTGTACTTGGTATCGGTGCATCCCTAATAAATACAAATTTAAAAAACTAAAAAAAAAAGATAAAAATTAAAAAGTAATAAAAAGTACTTATTTTCAGTGTTGGCACTTTGAGATAAATACATTGATTTTGTGTTGCAGTTTGGGCTCTCGGGCTTAAAAACGTTGAGCCGTCACTGCTCTATTCAGTAAATTCAAGTGTGGTTATAGTGACACCTAGTGGCCATGAGTAATCCCGCAGGGTTTCTTTTGCTGTATGTGTACCATCCATTGATCCGAGCATTTTGGAATTTTACAGCGTTATTCACAAAAGGGTGAAGAGTTAGGAGAAGGCAGGAGAAGTGAACAAACTAGGACAACATATCTGATTTGGAAACATTCTCCAATTCAGCTCACTTTCCAGTTCAGCTATGTTGTCCTAGATTGTTCACTTCTCCTGCCCTCTCCAAACTCTTCACCCTTTTCTGAATAACCCTGTTACTGATATCCTTTATTGGCTAAATCCAGAATTTAAAGATGCAAGTAGAGCATATTCTTAAAGCCTCACTCCAGCTTGGGAAGGGATAAATGTTACCAGTCCCTGCATCCTGAAAATGAAAAATGTAGCTTTAGCTGCTATACTCACCCAGCCTCCGGTGCTGTCCCCCACAGGTTTAACCGATCCAGCAATGCATCATTCAACCGACTTCCTGTGACCCCAGGGTGTCAAGGATCCGCCTCCCACCCTGGACTCACAGGAGGAATGCTGCAATGAGCAGCGCTACTTGATTACGTGCCACTGCTCTCTGCAGCAGTTAGAATCTGAAGAGAACGAAGGGGACCAATAACAGCTTCCTGTCTGGATGGCCCAAACTCTAAAAAGAGGTCTCAGTAGAGAAGCATGCAAATGTCTAATGTATTCCATGTCCATCCCATGCAGCAAACCTCATAAGACTTCCTATGTGTGGTAAAGTAGCCAGTTCCATTGTTTTGTTTTTTTAATAGCCTTCTCCAGTATGAAAAAGTCAGCCTTGCAGTATTTACGTCTTCATTCTTCAGCGCTGCCCCCTGAAACCTCCTTCATGGTCCAGCGTTGATCCTCCTCCAGCGGGCATCATCCAACCCACTTCCTGGGAGCCCAGGCTGTCATGGACACTCCTCCTGGAGGTCCCCCTGGGATCATAGGAGGACGCTGCAGAGAATGATGATCACATCACTACAAGAATTAAGATTTCTGCAGAATTCAGGATTGACCATCAGTACAAGATTTTAGGAGAGGAAGAGGACCCATGACGTCATATGACTGGACCAAAGACAGTGGGTAAAAGAAAGCTGAAATTGGACTTGAACAAAGGATAGGGACAGGACCCACAAAATAAAAAATGGGGGAAAAAAGAGTAAGCAGTTGCAACTCCCATATTTTTATTCAGGTAGGGATTCTTTTTCACCTGTCGCAGCAATTTAGAACAAGCTTTATGGGGGGTTTTTGCCTTCCCCTGGATTAACTGTTGGTATAAGGTTCTACATTTGGAGTTTTTCTATTTATTGATTCATTTTATTCTGTTAGGTGAAATCTTTGGAGTTGATCCTTTCTTCAAACTCCCTATGTAAATTTATTGAAGTGTTGCTTCTGAACATCTTGCCAACCATAAGATTCCCGGCTGAGTCGTCTGACAGCCACAAGATGGCTCTGTCACTTGCCAATCCCTTTAGCGTAACAAGAGCCAAACCATTCACTTTTTACACTACAGGCCGGTATTTCTGCTCCCAGTCACCCATTAATGATCGCTCGTGACCCACTTTTAATGTTTTGAGGCGTTTATTAAAAGTCACGACGCTATTCTAATCCTTCTAAATATATGTGTCTTCATCTTGTGCCTGTATGAGCGCTTTGTAAAAACTGACTGTTTGGTCTTCACAAAGATGGCCGACTGATCTTAGCACCGACTCTTTAGAGGAGACGCTGATTGGTCGTGTTTAGAGCTCTGGTGTTTGGCCAGCGGTGATTGGTGGTCGTACTGGAAGCTCTGCTGTTCAAGCAGCAGTAATTGGTTTTCGTACTTGGAGTTCTCGCGTTCGGTCACAGGCGATTGGTGGTAGTATTTTGACCGCTGGTGTTACGGCAGCGGTGATTGGTTGGAGGTGTGTCTGGCGGGATTGTTTGAATCAGCTGGCAGTGGTTGGCACGACGGTGACGGATCTCCGGTAATTCCACGTGACGGTTCGGTCTCGGGTGTGGGCCATAGTGATTGAATGGGGTGTACAGTTCGGGGCTTGAGTAGTCTGAGTGTCATCTGTAGTCAGTCTGTCCCAAAATGATTAAGCTGCTACGGTTAAAGAGAACCTGTCACCAGAACAAACAATGCTACTTTTTATTTGATATTAATGTAATTATGTCATATTTGTAACTACTAGTAACTAATATATATATACATATATATATATATATATGATGTCACTATAATGAGACAGCCTGAGGTGGTATCTCATTGGGGGCTCTTAGCAACCTGTAACGGACTGGCTGGCGTCCCGCTCAGCTCCGGGCAATCAGTGAGCAGGGCGGGACATTGGACAGAGCCGCTGAGAACATGGCCACCGACCCCCGACACAGCGTCCTGCAAAGCTCTTGGCATCCAGTGACATCACTGGTTGCCAGGAGCTTGGGGGATGCCACTCCGCACCCTCCAATAGGGGTGTTCGCTGGTTTGGTACAAACCGAGATTCCCTCACCAAACTGTCATTGAGACATCCCCTCCGCCCGATCAGCTGGGACATTCCCCACCCCGCAGCTGCATGTAACAAGGGGGTGAGGAATGCCCGGCCACGCACCTCTCTACCTCTGAACATGTGGCAGGGAGAGGACAGCCAGAAAGAGAAGAATCCAACACGCCTGGAAGTGTCAGATGCGTTGAAGCTTATTGTCTGAAACGTTGCTGCTATATAATGAGGATTACTTCAAGGAATATGCCGCAAACTTAAAAAAAATGAGCTGCACAACATACGAGATTTGATCTGTAAACGTATTGATAGAAAATGGTTTCCCGGTCCGGCAGTACCATAAATCTGACCAGATCAATCTTTTTCTGTGTTGTAACTCTTCCAAAGCAAATGTTAGCCGGGACTTGTTCTATATCACAACAGAGGCTGCGCCTTCCTCATGTCAGAGCTGACTTCCTGATGAGTGGAGAGGTAATGATCAGGAGGCACAGATCACAGGATGAATACAGCAGATGCAGGGAGGTCTTGGCACCGCAGGTCCCCAGGTACAGCTTCCCCTCCAGCAAGGAGAACAGTGAGCAGCACAGTGGTCACTCACCAAATCTAATGATTGATATAGGAATGAGCAAAAAGCAGCAGTAGAGATGGAGGCAACACAGATCACAGAATGAAGTAATCGGAAGCAGGGAGGTCTTGGCACTGCAGGTCCTCAGGTACAACTTCCTCTCCAGCAAGGAGAACAGTGAGCAGTACTGTGGTGACGACACCAAATTCCACCTTCAAATCTGGTGAGACTTGCAATCAGAGGCAGCAGTGCCTGAGATGATCTCACACAGCAGATATACAGCTAAGGCACAGGGAGTACTCTGCAATTTTTTTCAGGAGCAATTCAAACCAAATGGTAAATCTTTTGGGGTACAGCTTAGGCACAATTACGTAACATGTCACACCAGCTCACATTGACCCAGAGGGTTCAGAGCTTGCACCATTATGTTATCTCTCATACCTCCTATACTGACCCTTTCTCATCCTTGTAGGACTTCGATCAGAGATGGATGCCACGGAATTGGATGATTTGTGTACTCATCTTAATTCAAAGATTTCTATCATCAAGAAGAAATATGAGGTGAGTGAAAAGCACTCACCTCATAGTTCTCCTTTAAGCAGAATATTTGATTTCAGTTGAAGGGGAAGTGCGTGGAGAGTAAAACATACGGTCCCCAATGCTTAGAGCCAGTGTTGGACACTGAAGCTGTCATATGCCGGCTCTGATGCAAAGAGCTGAGAGGAAATTAGAAGAAATCTCCCAATGTGAGGGGAATTCCCCTGTTAGATAGTCCCACCCCCCACACAAACACGCACCCGGAACAGTTGTCCCCAATGGAAGATTTCCCCTCGCCTCTTGTCCTGGAGACAACTCTAACATTTTGGATTTGCATTAATTTTCTTTCTCGGTCACAATGGCCATCGGGACAAAGAAAGGGTGAATCTCCCCAGACTTCTAAACCATATTAAAGTAGACTCATTCTGCCCATTTCCTGAGAGCCCAGCCTGTCATTTACATGCACCTCCAAGGGTGCTGACGCATTTCTGCCTTACTTGGCCTCAGTCATAGTTATGACTAAGACAGCGTGAGGCAGAAATGCGTTGGATTATTTCAGGTTTTAGGGGAATCTCCCTTTTTCCTTCCTTTTATGTATATCAAATAAGCCTGAAAATGCCTTGGCGGTAGGACTTATTGTATATTTGATGATTTGCAATAACAGTTCAGAGTAGAATACGCTCGTGTCTCTATTGGTTCAGTTCCAGATTCTTGTTTCTCTCCTGTGATTAGGGCAGGATCCGCCCCTGAGGAGTACACTCAATAAAGTGGCCTATGAACTTCATTTGCTGTGCCAACTCCTCAGTACGCTGGAAACAGAAGTTCAGTATCAGGAATCTGTTGCCAACTCCTTAAAGGTAAGACCATTTCCTGCTTGCAGTGCAATTAGGCCATGCAAATCTGCAGCCCCCCTCCAACTCCCCACCCCGCAGCAACACCCATTCACCTTCTCCCCCTGCACAGATAGATACTTCCATCCAATGGCTGTGAGATCGGCTGTTTGCATTCCGTGGTGCAAGTCTGGCTGCCTGGCATCTGCACACTACAGGCCAATAGACTTCTATGAGGCTATGTTCAGAGGCCGAAGATGGTCCCGGGATTTTTAAATGTTTAGGTTAATATGAAATGAATAATTTGTTAAACACAAATGTGATTGGATTCTTTTAGAGCAGTCTTTCTTAACCTTTTCACCCCCCTGAGGAAACCCTTGAAATGATTTTTAGGTCTCCGGGAACCCTTGCAAATGGTTACAAAGATCATTGGTGTCATGCTGGCTCTACCAAGTGGTGCCGGACCTAGAATTATGCAGGCGCCATCAAATAGGAGGTCAGTCATCCACAGACCAAGGGCCCCTAACAACCTCTGGAGGAGACCTGGAGTTCTACAGAACTTTGTTTAAGAATGGCTGTTTTAGAGTATTTTTTTAAATGTTGGATTTTTATGCATTTCAAGGAAGCAGCTCACCTAAATGGGAATATTCCTGTCCATCTTCCCAAAAAGGGACCCAGCAGGTATATTGATGGGGTACAGGGATGACCAATATAAGAAAGCATAGGTAGAGACTGTGCAGTCAGCATTGACTACAGTGGTTTCTCCGTGGAGTTTGTTTATTTCCATAGATTCCTTGCGTCAAAATACTTCATGCCCTGAGGCGGTTATATGCTGTTGCAGCCGTGTTCTTGGGATCATTTTAAACAGCCAGCGATTTCTGTTTAGATCGCTTATACGGTGTGGCAGAATGTGTGCCCCCCTCTGCTGCCAGCTTCCCCAGGCTCCACTGTCCCCGGTGCAGGCCCGGGCCCGGCACAGCCCGTTTCCTCTGACTGATCAGAGGGAGATCAGCAAGCCTCCAGCTGCTGAACTCTCCTCCGATCACTGGACCCAGAAGTGATGTATATTACATCACTTCCGGTGTCACTGTGCACATTCTCCAGCTCTTAGAGCTAGGAGAAGAAGCTGGTGGAGCAGATCTCGGCTTCTTTGGAGTCCATAGGTGACATTAGGGGTCTGAAAGACCCCTGATGTCTCCATAAAGAGGACCTGTCACATTATATTTGCTATAACATATTGTTAGCCTATGTGATAGCAATAAAGTTGAGCGTAAAAAAACAAAATTAAAGCAACATAAATAAAAAATGCAAAAAAGTCCCCCGCTCCACGTGCGCGCACAAATAACGCAAACACACATGGGCGCGCTATCGGGCAAAAACTAAAATTGCGTCACACGTTGCATATCGCCGCAAACTTCGGAGTGAGCACAATAATTCTAGGGCCAGCAATCACTGGTAACTAAACTGATGAACGGTAAAAGCTTTTAAAAGCGTCGCCTATGGGAAATTCTGGGTATTGTAGTTTTTTGCAGTTTCACGGAGGCAATTTTAAGGCTGGACAATGTTCGGTGTCTATTTACCCGGCATGACCCCGTCTTTTATATTTCACCCAAAAATTGGGTATTGTGTTTCTGTGCGCTAAATTTCATTTTTGTGTATTTTATCCTAAAAATACGGGTTTGATAATCATTTGCGCAAATACCATGCAACATAAAAAAAATTGCAACTTGCATCTTTTTTATTCTACGGAGCCTCTGCTTTCAGAACATATGTCATTGTTTGGGGGTCTGAAGCTGTTTTCTAGCCAAAAATTCAGATTGTATTATGTGTGTGCAAATAGTAAGAAATTGCTCCGGACAGGAAGTGCTTAAAGCAGTACTAAAGTTCTGAGTGGTTTTTAATGAAAACACTGAAATTGCAGATGATTAATAATAGTGCGTGCACACCTGCAAAACTTTGTGACTTTTCCAGAAGGGTTCCTTGCTGCTGTGCAAGCCATTTTATTACAGGAGAGGAGCCGGTACAACTGTGCAACACTAAAGGAAAGGACGAAGCCCAGCTTTAATCAGTGCCTGACACTTCCTGTCGGTGTGATTACAGTAGACTCGTGAGGCTCTGGGCAGGGCATTGTGGACCTGGCGTTGTAATGCACTACGTTATATGTTGGCGCTTTGAATGACTCCCAACAGCTGAACTAAGGCCCCATTCACACTGAGCGACATGGAAATCGCGTGACTTTGAGCGACATGCGACGTCTTCCTATTGGGCTGTATGCAATCAGGAGCAATATCGCTCAAAATCGCTCTAAGACCCCATTCACACTGAGCGACATGGAAATCGTGCGACTTTGAGCGACGTCTTCCTATTGGGCTGTATGCAATCAGGAGCAATATCGCTCAAAATCGCTCTAAAAAAGGGTCATGTAGAAGCAACAAGCTACCAGCGACGAGCTACAAGCGATATTGAGCGACGAGATGTGAACAGCTACATTGAAATGTATTGGTGAAGCTACATAGAGCGATATAGCGCGGAAATATGAGCGATATCGCTGCGAAAATTGCGCGATAAATCGCTCAATGTGAACGGGGCCTTAGGCTGCACTAGAACTGCTGTTGATTCAAGTTTTGCCAACAAAATTGTGACAGTTAAGCTGATGAGGCCTACAGATATTTCCACCCTGATTTATTCAGACTGACATGATGACAAAGTGCTGAGCAGAAAGTGCCAGAGATGACAAGAATAGCCATTCTGACCTACAGATATTTCATGTTTGTTTCCTCAAGCAATTTCCAAGATTGATCTTCACAGCCGGTAACATCATCAATCCAGAGACTTGTATACGTTCTGTATGCTGCTGCCCTCTAGTGGAAGTCATCTGCAAGTCAGGTTTTATTTAATTGAATCTGAACTCCAGCTTTCCCTTCAGTCTGGCACAGTTGTAGCGGCTCCTCTTCTGGACTGAAATTGCTTCCTCTGATTTCGCTGCACACTGTGAGTGCAGAAGCTGCAACATCATCTAGCCTTTTGCTCTACAGCATGACCGCCCCTCTCATTCATTGGATTTCAGTCCTTTCTATCATGCAGGGTCAGCATCATAAATGGGTGTTACCTAGGGTGGTCTGCATGCACATGAAGCCTGCCTAGGCACGCCTCTACCTCCTCCAGATTAACATCCACTCATCAAGGCATTTATACATTTGCATAACTCCTCCCAAGGTACAGCTCGCTGCTTCTATCAGGACTGAGGGCTCTTAAATCAGAACCCCCGTACTGCAAAGGTTAACTGTTTTTTGGCCTTGGTAGGAAAATAACAAAGTTATAATCGCCTGATCCTCAGAGCTGGCATGCTCTTGGACTAGTCCTTCCAGCGCTTCTCCCCCTCCGCTGCTGTGGTCTAAGGATCCTATAGTCATCACGTCCAATACACTGAGTATGGGATGTGTGGTATGGAGGGATATTCACTGCAGTGCAGGAGACAGGCTGGAGGATGACAGCTTGACATCTCCAAAGTTTGGGTGAGTATAACTTTTTTTTATTTTGGTCCCTAGATGAAAATGAGCAGTTAACCCTTGCAGTGCGGGGATAGCTCCACTGCCGGGGCTAATAATATTTTTTCCCTGCAGTTCTTCTTCTTTATGAGGAGTACTGAGTAATGCTGGCCCATCCCACCAGCCATGATCTGGCCACATTGTATAAAAAAGCTTAGGGACTTAGTACTGACATCACTGGGTCTAAAATAAGCTATGAAATTAAAACAGATTTTATTTAAACGTGTTATCGGCATGTTAATGAGGGGAGAGGGAGCCAGGGAACTAAAAATATAAGACTAAATGTCAACTTTAATGCTTTGTCTCATCTCTATTAACAGCAGTCCAGCTGCAAATGAAGAAGCCCCAGTGGAAAAAAAGGTTGCCGCTCCAGAGCCAGTGAAGAAACCCATCAAAGACAAGCATGTAATCAAGGAGATGGAGCTGATAACAGTGCAGGAGTTCGAGACTGTCCCTGCGTAAGTAGATAAAAATACAGGAAGACTTGAAGAGCAACTCCACCCAGAAATGGACACAGATGACCTGGATGATGTTGCCTGCTGTCCAATTTCTCGAGGTATAGGGCCATCTGGTGTTTGCTCAAGGGATGCACCTGTGACGAGGGAGCATGAAGCCGGCTTCCCGGCCAATCAGGAAGCTGTAATGACACGGCGCCCAGCTTTCTGAATAGCCGGGAAGCCGGCTTCACGCTCCCCCCCTGTCACCTCATGACGAGGGAGCATGGAGCCGGCTTCCTGGCGAATCAGGCAGCCGGGTGCCGCGTCATTACACGTCGCCCGACTTCTTGATTGGCCAGAAACCCGGCTCCATGCTTTCGCGTCAGCTAGTGGGAACGACTTCCCTGCTAATCGGGAAGCCAGGGGGCGAGTCATTACACGATGCCTGGCTTCCTTAATGGGACCTCCAATATCGGTATTCGGTATCGGCAAGTACCGGGAAAAAAAATATTGGTACTCGTACTCCATACCGAAAAACCAGTATCTGTGCATCCCTAGTTTGCTCCTCTCTCTATGTTCCACCTGTTGAAGGGTCCTGGCTTCCTTCAGAATTTTAGTTTTTCGATCCAACTTTGGGCTTTACATTAACTTGCCAGGTCACCTTGCTGTCTATAGGCTCCTGTGGTTTTCAGTGACTCATAGCAAGCCATAAGTATCCCCCCTGCACATCTGATGGCTGCCACTTCAGTTTGAGGATGCTCTGGTCTCCCATCCCTGCTATTAGACTTTATATCTGCAGGCTGTGGCGCTATCCAACACATGTGGACTCTCCCGGTAGCTGAGGATTGTTTTGAAGGTTTTTTTCATTAGAAGTATATTATTGGCAACTAAGGCTTTTGACCACAAGCTACCCCACCATGTGCACATCATATTACCGCTGTGCAGTGGTACCAAATAATCCAAACAAAATGGCAACCGCACCAATCATTTTATAACTAGCTTTTTAAAGTAAGGTGCACATGAAAGAGCAGGAAAAAAACACATTATACTGTCTAACAATTTGTGTTGAAACAGGCTTGTTATACAGTACATTTGCAAAATAAGTGGACGCCACACTATTGGAGCCCCCCTTTGCAGTGTGGCCCTAACAGTAATCTATGAGAGCCTCTATCTTGGAGCAATGGCTAAATTGATGATCTGGAGGTAGCCTATTCCTCAAAGGTACAGGGGCACCCTAAAATCCCAGCAAAGCACGGTAGCTGAAGACTCCCAGTGTGTCCCCACATCAAATCCATCAAGTGCTCCAAGTACTACATATCAAATATAAATATTTGGGTTGGGTGGACCTACAATCTATAGGCTGTTGTGTCCACCACAATGTTATCATTCAGTTTTGGATCCCTGTGGAAGGTTAAATCACCTACAAGATTGTTGTAACATTCGGGGATAACTTCAGGGCAGCTTTTCTCAACCTTTTTACCACTGAGAAAGCCTTGAAATAATTCCTGGGTTTTTAGGGAATCCCTGGTTATTGTAGCTACAGCTCATAGTACATTGGTGGTGGTCAGCGAAGGACTGCTCTCTTACATTAGTGGCCAATTGAGTGCCCCTTTACAATTGTGCCCAGTGGAAAAATGCCCAAGCCTATTGGAAATCATACAATAAGTTTGCCTGTGCAATGGTAGTCAGTAGGGTAGGTGTCCCCTTACACTGGTGGTCAGCAGAGGAGATGAAGATTTATAATGATAGCCAGTGGAAGCTATGTCTTTTTATACTACTCAAGGAATGCCTAGCAGTCTCTGAGGAACCCTATGGTCGTCTGTAGGGTAGGCATCTCATTACACTGGTGGTCAACAGAGGAGTTGAACACTTACAATGGTGGTCAGTAGGACAGATGTGTCCTTACATTGGTGCAGAGGATATGAAGACTTATGATGCCAGTAGACGCTATGCCTTTTTATACCACTCACTACTCAAGGAATGCCTCGCAGTCTCTGAGGAACCTATGGTTGCAAGTAGGGTAGGTGTCCCCTACATTGGTGGTCAGCAGAGGAGATTGATGATGGCCAATGGAAGCTATGCCTTTTTATACTGCTCACTACTCAAGGAATGCCTCGCAGTCTCTGAGGAACCTATGGTTGCAAGTAGGGTAGGTGTCCCCTACATTGGTGGTCAGCAGAGGAGATTGATGATGGCCAGTGGAAGCAATGCCTTTTTATACTGCTCACTACTCAAGGAATGCCTCGCAGTCTCTGAGGAACCTATGGTGGTCAGTAGGGTAGGTGTCCCCTACATTGGTGGTCAGCAGAGGAGATGAATGATTGCATTGATGATGGCCAGTGGAAGCTATGCCTTTTTATACTGCTCACTACTCAAGCACCTAGCACTCACTTAGGAACCCCAGGGTTCCACAGAGCCCTAGTTGAAAAAGGCTGATGTAAGGAAATCTGACTGATCAAATTCACCATCATCAAGTCCTTAGTTGGACCACCTACTGAGCTTGGTACACACAAGACCACAGTGGTTGTTGTGTGACAGTCAAGTATGGGTCGAACTGAAACCTTGTAATGCAATTGACCAGCTCTCCACGTCTGAATGAGCACTGTCTCATACATTTGTCTTCGGCAGATATATGAAGAATCGTTTGACGTACGAACAGATTAACAGTCTTATTGAGGAAGTCAACAAGGCCGTTGTGGGCAAATACAAGATCATGCAGCAGCCGCTGAAAGCTCTGAACAATGTAGCCAGGAAGCAGCTCGGGCGATTTAAAGATGAAGAAACAAAAGACACAAAAGGTAGGTCAGGTTTAGTCTGTGCGGTGTGTAGGAAAGTGACTCGCTTACCAGTAGTGGTAAAACCTCCTTCATACCACAGCCAAATACCAGGCCATTCTAAAAGGCGAAGGTTCTACTTTTTTTATAAGATTGTTCTTCTTTGGGCTACTTAGCAATTCCGGAGATCTTGTCAGCAGGTGCACAGCATCACCCCCTGCACTATGGAAGTTGACCCAGGAAGGGTGAGTATATGAGGTGCCAGCATTTTGGGGAAGGGTGAGGCAACTTGGATAAACAAATTTTGCCACTGAGGTGGAGGATCCGCTTTCAGGACGATGGGTTTAGCCATTTAAATGACGTCTTTATGTTCCTGTGACTGTAGATACAGCAGCCTAAAATTATAGATCCAGGTATACGGTCGTTATAAGGCCCTTTCTAGCTAATTGGCCCTCATCAGTGCAAGGAAAGGCCACAAAACTGCTTCTCGAGGACTAATGTATGTTTGTTTCTTTTACTAATGCTCTCCTAGCTCAATTACTCAGCTAAGGCAATCTTTTGTATTGATCACTAAAATAAGGGCTTCCTCATCCAACCACATCCAAGCGATGCCTTTAAAGTGTGTCTATAGCCAAAACGTTTACTGGGTGTTGTTGGGAAAAGCCTGAAAGTGACCTTTGGGCACTGGGTTCCCCATGGGGCAATATTCCAGACTGTTCCTTTTACTTTAGTTGTGGAGCACTTTCTGGGGCCAGACCTGCTGGCATTGCCTCTGTGCGAGACCATTCTCTAAGGACTTGCCTAGTGAGTGGACCAGTTGGAGCACTAGGAATTTCCTCGTTTTTATTGGTCGCTGGGAGCCACTATTCCCAATTTCCTGCTGTTATTGTCATGGAATTGGTTCACACTGTGGGACTAAGTGTTGTCTACATACACTAGGTCCTTGGTTCTCAACTGGTGGGTTGTGACTCTGTTTTCATTGGGTCGCCGCCTGCCTTCCACTTTTCTAGGTGAGAGACTCCTCAGCCTCCCCCTGGAGCAGCAATATCAGTTCTCGCGCTGAGCAGCCATTCAAAATATGCTGCCTAGAGCCGAGTGTCGGCTTGAGGTGGGGTGGAGCTATGGCCATGAAGGAGCTCCATCCATACATACATGCATTGCTTACAGCTCCCTCGCGTGCCCTGTAGAGTTGCCTGGACCGGAGTGATGTCACATTCTGGCTCCCGGCACCTCTACAGGGCATGCAAAGGAGCTGTACAAGAAATGCATATATGGATGGAGCTCCGTCACAGCAGCCCAGCACTGGACCCCAGGGTGAGGAACCACTCAGGGAGACTGGGCGGATCTTGAAAAGATTTAAAAAATTAAAACATTTTTTGGAGTGTGTGTGAGATTGTGTCTGTCAGTATTTTTTAGGGCCCGTTCACACTAGTACAGTGCGTTAATCGGACAGTTCTATGCGATCAGCGCACTGTACCACGCCATCGCATTTACTATGCGTTCTGGTGTGGGAGGTGCGTTACGTTGCCATTCATTTGAATGGCACCCCAAAACACCTCCCGCCCACAGATAAATCGAACGCGCAGTAGCGCAATGCCATGCGTTCCATTGCAGCGTGACTTGGGTCGCTACTTAATGTCCAATGACAAGTGTGGGTCCTGAGGTTACACAGGTTGAGAACCGTTGGGCTAGGTGGAGTGTCATACATTCTGCGTGCTCTTACCTGCCATACACTGCCAGGGAATCTCTCTCCACTGCTGCTCATGTTGCAGAGACACGTGGAACTTCGATCTTTGATTTATTTATTTCCTTGCCTACAGTGACTATGGTCACCTCCAGTCATTGACACTTACCTGGTACCCGCTGTCTGGATTTCCTGAGTACTTCAATCCTTGCCTTACATAAGTACTTGAAGCCTTGGCTGACCCTAAATCATCAGTACATTGCCTCAGAACACTGTGGCTGCAACCTGCCTGATGATAGACAGTCCCACTGTACTGGACGACCCAGCTCACTTTCTACCAACTGATGGTGGGAATGTGTCTACTTCCTGGAGTCATGCTGTCCTCTGTTAGGGTCTCTTCCTTTATCAGAGTCCTCCTTGGCTCTTTCCGGTGTGGCTGTGTCCTCCGTCCTCTCACGCAGGACTTTTGTGAGGAAAATCCCCTTTAAGACAGTAGTCACTGGAACAAGTGTCCCCTTTGGAAGATTTCCTCCTCCATTCCTGTTCTGGTGGCAATTCAAAATTTTGGGTTTACCCCTTTACTTTACACTAGCTGACGGTCGCAAAATTGATTGCTCAAAGTTTAAGGCTGGGCAGACGTCCACCATCTTTGTCAGGAGGGTTTCTGTCCATCATATTGAGCATGGCAACCCCTACTATGTAGATGAGATGGTGACGTCATCAACCTTGTGTAAGTGACTACACAACCGAGCTGCAGCCTTACCTGCAGTCTTTCACAGATGTACAGGCTCCTGTCCGGTGCTCAAGATAGAGCTCGCCTTATTTCCTGTTTGGAGGACATTCAGCATCATCCGGCCCTTCTATCCCCAGCCTGGGTCCCCCTAGTCTGCCCATTTCATTCAATGAATTTCAAATGCAGCCTGCTTAGGAACGCCTACTCCCCCAGAAAGATATCCATTCATCAAATCGTTTTGATATTTGCATAACTCCTCCCAAGAGCCAGCCCACTGCTTGAATCATAGCTGAGTGCTCCAGAGAGAAGAACTGAGGCAGGGTGCTGTGATGTTATCAAGCAGCTATGTACAGCACTCTGCGGCCCCCTCCCACCAGTCATGATCTACCTGCATTGCATACAGAAGCACAGCAACCCATCGATGACATCACTGACTCTAATGGTAAATACATAAACAAAAGTTTTATTTTAAAATGTTTCTAGTATGTTGATAAGGGGAGGAAGGGGACCAAGGAAGCTAAAATAAAGGCAGATTAAACTTCACCTTTCGGTAGCAGAAGTTCTGACAGACAAATAACTTGCATGGGGCCCCGGGAGGTCTCCTTCCTGTCGTGCCTAAACCACTAGAACACTTCAAATTCCTCCTCGCCAGTTACATAAATAAACATGGAGTACATAACAATTTGTGATTTGATCCGTCTTATTTATCTCCCTCAGGTCAGTTTTTTATTGTAGAGCAAGATATCAAAGAATTCACCCAACTGAAGGTGGATAAAAGATTCCTCGGAATGCTGAACATCCTGCGACATTGCCACCGGATGCGGGAGCTGCGTGGTAAAGGAATCGTGCGCTATGTTATCTGTTAGTGGCCGAGCACACAGCAGAAAGTGTACAAGATGCTTCCAATCGGGAGATCCTAAATATTTATTGCATTGTAGTCATTCATATAAAAACATGCTAAGGCCTGGTTCACACCTGGGCGTTTTGTAGCGCGTTCGAACGCTCTGCAAAACGCTCAAACACCGAAATCCCATTATTTCCTATGGGCATGGTTCACACCTGGGTGTATTACAGGCCATATGAACGCGCTACAAAACGCCCTACGCCCAAAGGAGTACAGGAGCTTCTTTGGGGCGTTTTTGCCAAGTAGCCCTCGGAAACGCGCATCATGAAACGCGCATATTCGCTACGCCTAGGTGTGAACCCAGCCTAAGAGAATACTTTGGCTGCCATTGCTGAACTCTCCTTAGCAAATGTAGACACACATTTTTGCTAGAGCCCGGTGTAGCAGCCCCGGGCACCAGTGATCAATATGCAGGGGGTCTCTGACAGGATTAATAAAATAAACTTAAAGTCCACGTTAAACAGTGTTCATCACCATGATAACTACAGTATAAAATCAATTCATTATTACAAAGTGAACACATCAAACAAAATACAACACATGGGGGGAATTTATCAAACCTGGAGCAGATTTGCACTGCAATCAATCAGCTTCTCTGTCTCATTTTCAGATCTTACTTGAGCAAACTGAAGAGAGATGCTGATTGGTTGCAACTGCTCCAGATTCTGTCTGCTCCAGTTTTGATAAATTCCCCTCATTGTATTTTTTTTTATAACATTTTTAATGCCATCACTCTCTTTCATGGACTCAACCAAACCTCCTAACTCAGGCTTCTGGGGTGTGGAATGGTTCATGAGGTATTCTTTCTTCCAGTGACTCCAGAACTGTTCAATGAGGTATTGGACCTCCTTTAACCCATTTTTCCACTTCTCCCACCGTTTGTGTAGGTCCTCAGAAAATGGATCATCTGATCTGATGCCCCTGCAGCACAGCTTCTGTATAATATATATGCTTTTTCATTGTTGAGTGCAGCATATGCTTGATAGAATTAGAAGGATCTTGGGGGGTGACTCGTATGATCACTGCAGATGCTGGTTAAGTAACATTGCTTACCCATACTAGTTACCCCTCCGTCTCCATCCAATGTTATCAGTCAGTTCTTACTTCATTCAACAACACCAAGCCCTGATAAAGGGGGACCCTTTATACCCCGAAATATGTTGATACATGAGTCTGAATAAAGTTACCTCTTTCACTGCTCTCGTCCTTGCACACCTACCTTTGGTACAGGTTGTCCTTTAAGACATACCCCCACTTATCTGAGAGCAGCCCATACGTACCTCAGCCCCTGTTCCAGTGGTCTTTAGTCTTCTGAAAAGGTCACAGATTCATCAATGAATGGTGCTGTGGCTCCAGGCAAAGCTGCACAGTGAGTATCGCTGGAACATGGATGGAGGAAAGTACTGAACCAGGTAGGCTGCACTCAAGGAGAGGGGCATGCCTTAAAGTGACACTATACTCGGGATTAAACCTTAAAAATACATTCACGTACCTTAACTATTAACAACAGTGAAGGGAATTTATCAAAATCTGGAGCAGCTGTGCATGGCAACCAATCAGCTTCTGTCTTTCATTTTCATATCTTAACTGAAGAGAGAAGCTGATTGGTTGCCATGCACAGCTGCTCCAGATTTTGTCTGCTCCAGTCTTCATAAATTCCCCCCAATGCATCATATTGGTGTATCACTCGGCTGTAGATCCTCAAATCATCTCTGGATTGGTGCTGACACTGTCCTTCCTTCTGGAGGGGGGCTACTCTTGTTCCCTATGGGGAGCCACATTACTGTGAAGAGGCTCTAAGAAGGTTTTCTGCATATGAGACAGTTACACACAATGGAAAGTACTCACTTGTAGTAGAATTCTGCTTAACTTACAAATAATGAATCCCATTATTATTTAATTTTACTAAAATACTGTACATTCCTTATATCTGTGTCCTTTGTGAGCTCTCTGGTCTGTACTATTTCACTTTTTTTGTTGGAAATTGTATTTGTTGTGCATTTTAATAAACTGCATTTTTAAAGTTCCTTGAATTGTACTTTTTTTTGGGGGGGGCAATTGGTCAGTTTGAATTCATTGGAGGCAGTACAGTGAAATTTCCCTTTTATAGGGCATAGACGACAAAAAAAAGAACACAGGTGGGCACAGTTCATGTCACTACCTTGCGGTGGTGTGCGCTTAAAAAAAAAAACTGGCGTGCAGTACTTATTTTAAGCACACCACAGTGAGGCGTGGTACAACCGCATGGTGCTGTGGTGTGCACATAGAACTTGATGAAATGTCACTTTCAATAAAGTTGTAAAAAAAAAATGTGATGGGTGTCTCTCAAGCACATCGGCACTGCCCGGAAGCACGCACACCTGGTGTGAACAAGCCCTTACACATCTCAGCTCTTGGCAACCTGGGTCCTTCTGCCTGGCAACCAGTGATGTCACTGGTTGCCAGGCAGCAGCATCCCGGGTGGGAAGATGTGTATGGATAAAGGGTGCAGAGAGAAGATTTAAAAAAAAGCCTGAGGGGAGGAAAAAGTGAAGAAAAAATTCAAGCCGAGCCAGGGCCCCCTCGCAGACCTGATGGGATGGATTGCCTTGTCGTCAGCAGAGCATTGCTGGGAAATCTCATCTGAGATCTCACGGAAAGGCATTTTTCTCCCCTGAGATGATGTGCATGGTCACATGTCAGAAATCCAGGAAGTAAAAGGAGAGCTAGTAATCTGCCCTTAGTAAACATGGCCACTGTCAGGAGACTGGGGAAGAAAAGAGAAATAAGCAGTGATGTGCGGTACCTCTTGTTCCGGGTGAGGCATTCCCCAGCACGTCCAGCCCCGCCCCCAAGCTAGTGTAAAGGAGGAAGGGGGAGCCTCCCTGTCCCTCACATGCTCCTCACTGCTGAGGGCTCCGTCCATGACAGGTTACACAGCGGGGAGGATTTCCCATCTGTGTAACCTGTTAGATGCCGATCTGAATGGAGAAAAAGCTGTCAGCTTGAGACTTGAAGCTGACAGCTTTTCCCTCCATAATTCTAGGTGAGGCTCCGCCTCCCCTGACCTCACGTCCCTTGAAATAAGGAATGCAAAGAATACAAAGCCGGCAATTATCTAGAACAGGGGGGAGTTTGGGGAGCAGAAGTGTATTAGGCTGCATTCACACCTTTATTTTAGTTGCAATTAGGGATTTCTGCGTCAGGAACTTGCGTTTTCCTGCAACAGAAATCCCTAAATGGGCGTTTTACAAATGGCAGCTGTCACCTAAGTTAATGATCAGGTGACAGCAGTTGCATGTAAACGTCTGCACACCGCATGTAAAGATACGTGATATGTTTACATTCCGCTAGGAATCAATCACTCTCCCTGGACGCATGTAATCATATCACGTATCATTACATGCGGTGTGCATGCGTTTACATGGAGCTGCTGTCACCTGATCATTAACTTGACTAGGTGACAGCTGTCACTTGAAAACGCCAGATTAGGGATTTCTGCTGCAGTCTGAGCAGTCTCCAATAAAGTTTCTTGTGGATGTTTTCAAGGCTAGTTATTACTTAAATTATTATTAAAACCAGTAGCAACTGAATGCAGAGGCAACTATTTATGATAATAAAGAGTAGATGCATAGTCCTATACAACCGGCCCTTTGAGGGTAACCATACTGCTGATGCGGCCCCCGATGAATTTGAGTTTGCCACCCCTGATCTAGAAGTATGCGTGTGTAGATTGTCATTACTAAAGGTGTGTTTGTTGTTATTTTACAGATCTGGGTAAAGGTTCCACTTTAAGTGAATACTAATGGAACACTAAACGTAATGTATCTATACGAGCTATTGATTCTTTGACCTCTCACATACCTCCCATTATCTGTCCTATAAATAGTGTGATTGAAGAGCTTGTGATAGACGACTTTGATAAAGTGCAAAGAGCGATAGATAACCCGTATAGGCCGAGGAGAGATTCTGCTCCGAGCTCACAATGTACACCTCATGCTGTTTCCTCATTCTGCACCAGACTGAATTTATCCGTTTAGGGAGAACCGCTGGAAGCTGACTGTAGACAGGTCAACAGATCTGATGTTTAGCAGTAATATGCACACTCAGGAGCTGGGAGACCATAGGTGATGTCAGGCAGGCATTAGGTGGCCTCTGACCCCTGACACATCTAGTTTAAATCTGAACTCCGGCCTTCCCTGCAGTCTTGCACACTTGTGCTGGCTCCTCTCCTGGACTGAAATGGGTTCCTCTGATTTCACTGCACACTGCGAGCTTCTCATAATGTGCATTAGAAGCTGCAGAAAGACAGACAGAGCTCGCCTCATTTCCTGGCTGGAGGACATCCAGCATTATCCAGCCTGACTGTCCCTGGCCCACCCCATTCATTCATTGCATTTCCGTCACCTAGGCTCAGCATTACATGCGGGTGTTATCTAAAGCTGCCCATACACCTTGCGATCAGCGGATGAAACTTTTCGTCCGCTGATCGAACCGTCGTACGATTATCGCTTCCGGTGGCCCCATCCTGCCACAATTATCGCAAGGTTCAATCAGCAGTACTTAAAGGAGAACTATGAGGTCAAGTCTTTTCCCCATAGTTCTCCTTAGGGTAACGGGAGGACACAAACTAGCGTCCTCCCGTCACCTTAGGCTCAGTATACCGCGAGCTGTAGCTCGCGGTATACTGAGACGCCGCAGCTGAAGCGGATCCCGACAATTATGTCTGGATCCGCCCAGCTGCGTGAGTGACAGCTGGCTCTGCCTATCTAGAGGCAGAGCCAGCTGTACCCGCCCCCTCCCCCGTCCATTCCGCCAGTCAGCGCTGGCAGATCGGAGCAGGGAGGGGGGAATCCAGCTCCTCCCCTGTCACGGCAGAGAGCCGTGACAGGATCGAGAGGTGAGCGAACGCCGGTATGTGTTCGCTCACCTGCCGATCTACTGAGCTGACCTGTGACAGTCTCATTGTCACAGGTCGGCTAT